GTGTGTGTGTGTGTGTGTGTGTGTGTGCGTGTGTGTGGCACATAAGGTGCAGTGGTATGTGCAGCGATTTCCAATCGATTGCCTGCGGATTCGATTCCTGACGATTATGGTCACACACGCCTTTCTTCTCTTTCTCCGACTCCTCCTGACTTTTCTTTCATTCTCCTGGGTGGTTACAAACAGCCAGTGCATGCCGGAGTACGTGGTGTGATGTGTGTGCGGGGAAAAAAAGGCCAAAAAGTAGGGATTCACTGGCCAAAAACCCAACTTCATAGCTGTGTGGTGTAGACCAGGCTGAATAGTGGCGGTCAATTCTTCAGCATTGCAAGCTGTTGAATGGTGCAATCCCAGCACAAACTGCTATGGCTTCTGCTGTAGCTTTTGACGCTCATCGCCTCCGGCGATGAGCGTCAAAAGGTCCAAAAGGTGTGTGTGTGTGTGTGTGTGTGTATGTGTGTGTGCGTGTGTGTGTCACTGTGTGTGCGTGTTACTGTGTGTGTGTGTGTGTGTGTGTGTGTGTGTGTGTGTGTGTGTGTGCGTGTGTGTGCGTACGTGCGTGTGTGTACGTGGGTGTACGTGTGTGTGTGTACGTGTGTGTGTGTGTGTGTGTGTGTGTGTGTGTGTGTGTGTGTGTGTGTGTGTGTGTGTGTGTGTGTGTGTGTGTGTGTGTGTGTGTGTGTGTGTGTGTGTGTTGACACATACCACGTGACTAATCACGTGAGAGACCATGAGGTGCAGGTCACATCCACGTCCAGTCCATGTCTGCAGCCGCTAAGATAGCTTTTTCAACAAAGCACTTATAGGCCATTCACACGACATGGAAGCACATGTACGTGTGTGACCAAGATATCACTTGCAAACCGCGATCCAGTCTACACGGTGCTGGGCAAACTTTGCACATGTCAATGTATCCATCGTTACCTTCTGGAAATGAGGCGAAATTTTAAATTTTTAAATTCCCGTTTGAAAAATATCCCACACACTACATTTGCAGCGCGCACTTTCAACACCGGCACTTTTGCTCGTGTGCAAAGTATAATCGTGAACACAAGGACCCCGGCCAAGTTCAAAAATCAGTTGCAAGCGTGTGTCCAAGTTTATCGTATGCGAGTAAAATTAATATCCTTGGAAATGTACGATAAATTTGAGTTTGGACGTCGTGTGAATGGCCTACTTGATCCGCCAAATTAAAATTGGCACTTATCTTCACTCTTGTCGCAAAACAAAAATACAAATATTTGAAGCATGCCACGATCAGAAAACGCTATGTACATGATACTTTACATGTCAGAAAGCAACTCAGCCGAAAATCCTAGCAAGTTACACGTCCTCCTCGCCACTATCGTCGCTGGAGGATGAGCTCAAAACATTCAATCCAGACATATGCTGAACGTTTCATAGCTTGTTCCACTTCTCCTCGTCTCGAATCACGCAGTCAACTGTGGTGCCTGTCATCTTGCCACTCAGAAGCTAAGTGAGACTGCCCGTGTGGTGACTGTATGTGTTATCCCCGTTCGTCTCAATAATGCCTTTGTTCTGAGGCAAAAAGGCAACACCCATACTTTCAAATGGCAACCTACCCATATCATACATCAAAATTTTCAGTGGGATCTCAGCTGTCGAGCGCAAAAAACCGCGGCTTGATCGGAGCTACGGCGGCGGGGAACGGCGCGCTTGATTGGAGTGCAGCGAACCGTACCATATGGTACGGTTCGAGATGGGGCTGGTACACAAAGCCAAAGATTCGTGGCATGGCTGCATTGAATTCTGCGCTCAGCAAGAATAGACGAGATAAAGGAAGAAGGAGATTTTAGCTGAGCTGCCCACAGCTTAGCTTTGCAATCATATGACATGCATTCTACCTCAAATGCATCTTGGAATAGTTCATGCATATACGACACACACGACAGACGCTCGCAACATGGGTGCTGCACGGCTGCATTCACTTGCCACGAACAGACACAGCAGGAAAGAGAGGGGAGGGTGATAAAATGGCAGGTGCTTCATTCCCTGCAAAGAAGGCCGGGGAAGCAAGCTCGAGAAGTGCGTCTCGACTGCAGTGGGTGGGATTAGCCCTAGACGCCGTTGAGCATGACGTCGACGGTTTCTTGGGCCTGCACCTTTTCTCCTATCCTCAGCACCTGAGCACACTTTACAAGGGCCAGGAGTGGTACTGCCATGTGGCTGCCACACATAGAGAGTTGGTGTTCTAAAGTCACCAGAAGAAGAGGAGGATGCCCTTCTCAAGTACGATCTGCATGAATCACAAAATGTTGCAGGATGTACGTCTGGCGTGTCTGTTGTTGTGTTGATGTTGAAATAATGCAGGAGCTCATCTGCGTGATCAGCCACTGCATGTGTAGTCGTCCTCGTCTTCTTGTCTTTCCGAAAGGGTGGTATAAAGAACCCACACACCCTGCACAGAGACTCTAGCACTGAATTGTGGGTTGCCATGGGGGCTGACAACGAGGGACCCTCGACGAGAATGAGTGGCCCTCGACGAAAAAAACTCAATTGGGTTGCAGAGGTAGTATGATCGTGCACCAGGAAAAACTTGGAAAAGACGTTAGAAAACCTTACCTTGGGCAAGAAGCTAGCTGAAAGTATCCCCAGGAATAGGCACGATGCTATGAATAGGAAGAATACGAAGGAAACGTTCGTCGAGGAAAAGAGCACTTTCATCAGGAGTGAAGCTTCGAAATTTTGGACATGAAGACGACTGCATTCAAGGAGTTTTATAAACCTGAATTCACCTGGAAGGCAGGCTTGGTTTGTCCTATATCCATCGAAGAAGCCATGTATTCAAGGTAATTTCGATGCAATTCAATTTCGAATTTTTGAATTTTCTTGAGCAACCTAGCTGCGCCAGCCGCAAAGGCGCGGATGACGTAGGTGCCGCTTTTTCGGAATCTGAACAGCCGTGACCAGGTGACTTGTGTACGCCTGAGCACGTGACCGCTTATTCAACTATGTTTTTAGTGCACCCGCACATGTTGTCCAGGCGTCAGGGGCCCAGCCTCCCTGCCCATCCGACCCGCCACACACACAACAACGAAACTAAACGGAGAGTTCTACATAATTTCTTGATAAGACGGAGACGGACAGACAAGAAGACCGGACACGACGAGGTAAACTGATAACTGAAGAAAAAGACTAACATTTATGGCAGCATATGAGCATGCGCGCAACAAAACACAACGCATGACAATGACGTAACCGTTACTTGGTTCATGTACAAACTAAAAGTTAAAACTATACATGCAACCAAAACCGTCCATATTATCCAACACAGTCAAAAAGAGAACGCAAAACAAGACACAATAAACAAAAGGACCACAACAAAAATGAGCCATGAAAAGTCTTTCTATCGATACACAACAATGTTTGATTGGGAATACGGGCCGAAAGCTGCATCACAGCTTTCTCGGACCAAAACCAGTCGACTCAGTGTCCGAAAGATTACAACATACGGGCCAACCGCGGTCATCTGTGCTTTTACAAGAACGAAACGGCGCTTTTAGTGACATTCTGTATATAAATCCCCATCTAGTAGGGCGTCGTCACCCAGTTTCGGTGGAAGTGCGCGAGTTCGATTGGGAAAAAAAGGAGGAAGGGAGCGTCTCAGCTTCCTCAGACCAAGACCATTCGACTCAGCACCCCAAAGACTACAAATGGTGAAAATTTTATTTTAGGCTTAACTTCCCTTTTAGGTACTCGTAATTCCCCCAAAGATGTCGGTATGGCGTATACTACCATGGTGAAATGAACCGCGATATACAGTTGGCAGAGCAGCTGTTGCTACTGCTGAGGGGACGAGACGCCCCAGCTGCTGCGCGGGCGAGCCGTGGGGAACATTCGACATACCACGTAACGAACGAAGAGCAGTTTTCAATGCCTCCGAATTCTGACTACCCACTACAAGGTGCATTGGTGCACCCAGCCCCGCAGGTTCTGACACCACCATCGCCTGTGGGTGACATAGAATAGAGCAAGCAAATTGCTTTCTGTTGATATGGTTGGTCATTACTCACTACCTACCCTTGCCCCGCCGGGGGCAAGTCATTGTTGCCGGGTGCACGCACGCATTCATGCCGACGTATCTGTGCCTGCAATACTATTCTTTCTGTCAGGCATTTTTTGAACAAAAAATGCCTGCCCTTTTGAGGCCCGATCAGTGCATTGCGGCTTGTGCTTCCATTTGCTCCGCAGTCACCACCGGCTTCTGAACTCTCTGGTCGACGCTTTGTTCTGGAGTCTAGTTTTGTTTGCATTGAGCACATCATTAAGATGATGGCACCTCGGTGTGGTAATAATACGTGGTATATCTTGACGCTGTGCACATAACATTGCCTGGCCAGGACTACCAGTATGCTGGCTGATAGCGTGGGCAACCCACCCCCTCCTTGATTGACCATCAGTCTACTACCGTCGCCTCGTTCGGTGTTACCTGGGCCCTTCTCTTTTTGGGGAAACTTGGCCTACAAACGTAATGTGCTCAAAGGCTCGCTGACAATGATGTGCAAGTTTGCGCTAAAAACCATCACGCGTCCCACCAAGATAAATCGGGCAGGAGAAAAGTGCTCTATGGCTTGAATCCCCAGCTTGCACGTGCATACGCACCAGATGCGATCCGGAGGCGCATTATGCATGCCTCAGCGCCGGGCAGGCTAGTAGCCAATAGAATGAGCTAACCTGGAACTGATGGCCAACGTTTGCGCTTTCCCAGCCCAGTATCAGTGTTAGTGATTGGTATGTGGGCCCACGCCAGCATCTTAGAGCAGTGTGAGTGCGTAGTCCGCAGGTATGGCAGTGGTGAGGATAAGGACGCGTGCTGTGTGCTGTACGTTTGTGGATGTGCACGGGGCAGGCGCGTATGCTATCGTGTGAAGTGATGGATGGGGTGCAGAAGTGCAGGTGGTGAGAGCTTGTGGCTACTGCTAGAGTGGCTAAGGCGAAAAAGCAGCCATCAGGGCGGGGCAAGATGGCCTGTTCGCTGGTACGGTATGTGCTTTTCTAGGCCGACAGGCTGTATGCGGTATTGGCGACGATCGGGCCAGTAGGTGGGCTCACGCGAGCAGCTTGTAGTGGTCTACAGGCGTTTATTCTCTGTCACATGAATGCGAGGCGGTCGAGAGAATGCTGGTGCGTGCTCATGAGCGTGTGCGTGTCGGTGAGTGTGTAGGCGTTCTTGGCGAGCTTGTATGAGGTTATATGCCTGTGTAGGAAGAGAATACGCGGATGTGTAAAAGTTGAGCGAGTTCTCGTGGATACTGTGAAAGCCACAGTTTATACTGCTTTGCTAGCCGGTACCGTGTACCCTGGTCAGAGCAATTCAT